GCTGAAGAAAGTGAATGGTAGTTTGGTAAAGAAGAGAATGAAATGAAAGGTAGGTACAGTGGCTGGCAATGTCAAGTGAAAGAATCCTCAAGATTGGGGAAACTGGAACAGATTTGGAGACTGAAGGAAAGGCCATGAAGAGGGATACTCTGCAGCAGTTGTCCTCAGTTGTGGCTGCTCCCCAGATCATGACCAGTAGTTGGCAGAGCCATAATGGAAGCCTGCGCCAATCACAAGAGATGAAGGAAGGCTGCATGAGAACACAAAGACAAACAGTAATGAGAAAGGGAACCCAGAAACAGGAAGGGAAGGGTTACAATGGGAAGGGGTACACAGAGGGCAAAGTTGTAGGAGGCTGGTCTTGTCTGTCTATGTAAATAGTTGTTTTAGCTCATCGAAAACAGAATAAAATTTTATTTTTCTGGATCTAGGGTAAGTGGAGAAGGTGGTCTCTTGTAATCTATTCTTAGTCTTAGACTAAATCTATAAACCAGTAAGGTAGTAAAACCTAGAAAATAGTCACCCAGCCACATGTGTCAGGCAGATGTGACCCTCCCCCGTGTCTACTGTCTGTTTTTTAAAGAGACTCTGATCCTTCAGTCCTGTTTGGAGTGTTGGGAAGGGTAGACCCTCTTCTAAGACGCCACACTGCTGTGTATCCCCTGCTGAGTAAGCCCACCCCAAGCCTTTCCTAAAGAAGCCTTGCTGAGACCAGGAACACAGGCAAGCATGGAGCGTTTGGGAATCATGCATCCAACTAACTGCCATGCATTATAACACTGAGTTGTCCCTTAAAATAGACCTCAAAAAGATCCAGAGCTGATATGACTTCAGAAATGCACAACCACCCTGAACTTGCTTGATCTTAGTACTTCTAAGCATTTTGTCAGTGGGGCTCAATTTCAAGGAGAAGAGGCAGCTGTGACTACAGGCAGGCCATTAGGTTGATGAATGTTTACTGGAGAGGACTATCCAGCTGGATCCCAGATGGTGGGAAAGGCCTTGTTATGAGGCCATAAAAAGCCAGACAAATAGGGGACACTTCAGTCTACATGGATGTTGATGGTTTGCGAAGCAAGAGAAGAAGAGAGGGAAAGACAGTTATGGATTATCAAGTATCTATTCATTTACTGAATTATTGGTCTTGAAAATCTAAAATTAATGTTGAAATTCTGTCAGGTGTGGCAGATAGAAAGGTAGAGGGGAAAACCCAATGGGTTCCCTCTGTGCACTGCCTCTATTATATCTCTGATGTCTCAAGACAACACTCTTCTCAAGTTGATCAATGAATGGGTTTGGGCTATCAGGTACACATGGCTAGGAATAGCAAGGAATGACCTATTGCTCACCCATTTATTGCCTCTCCCTAAGACCAAATTTCAAGCTCAATAATGCAAGAAATATTTCTAGATTGATTTCACCTCACTGTGATTATCTCATTCTTCTGCATGTTTCTCAAGTGCACTTTTATTTAGCCCTCTGTGTTTAAGGTCAACCAGAAAGATGAACCAAATGGTTTCAAGGTTGATGCCTCTCCAAACTCCCTAGCTTTGCATTGTCTTGATCTTGACAACCCCACCAACTTGAAACTCTGTTCCATCCCAGTCACATGATTTGGCAGCCCTAACCCAGGCCTCACCAAAATGGGAAACTTCTTAATTTCAAAATCTCAAACTCTAATATTTCCCTTTACCAAAACTTCCTGTTCTTCTATTGTGCAACTCTCAGTGAATCTATGCTTGATGACTTCTTGCTCCTTAGACCCTCCAAAATTCATGGATCCATCACTCTGTCTCTGAGTGGTTCCTACCACCACCCCTCACCACCTTCTTCTCTTTCTAGGACTAGTCCCAGATTTAGGTTGCTGATGGGATCATCTATTTAAATGTGGTCTCTAACTCCACAAAGATATTCACTGCTGCATGAAATCCTTCCTGAGCCCTATCATATTCCCCACAGCCATTCCAGATGAACTTTCTTGAGACACTCAATTCTCCCTAACCTAAATTCCCATGGCTTGTACCTGTTATTCCTTCGTGGCTTCCATCACTTTCTGACTCAGATAACAGTTATGCATCTACTTGTATTATACCTCTTTGAGGATTTTTAGAATTTTAACTTATTCATCTTTGTGTTCCAGTGCCTGGCATCAAATAGATGTTCAATGACTATAACCTGAATTGAATAAGACAACCTATTTGGACAACCTTCTTTGAACAACCAAAGAAACTTCTTTAAAAAGATAATAGCTTCATTGGAATATCAACTGCAAAGTTTGGGGGGGGTAGCTTTACAAAGAAGCAAACTAAAACTTGCAATGAGGATATCAGTTTTCTATTGCGGAATGATGAATTAACGCAAATTTAGCAGCTTTGAACAATAGACATATTATCTCAACTTCTTGGGTCAGAAGTCTGGTGGGACAGTGCAGCTGGGTTATAGTGCAGCTGGGGTCTCTGCTTACTGTATTCCTCCTGAACAGGGTAGGAAAAAGTATTGCATTTTTTAGCTCCACATACCTCTTTCTGCATCTAATGAAGTAAGGAGGGAGGATAGTTAATGTCCCTTTTGCAGATGAGAAGTAATAGGTTGAAGTCACTTGGAAAGAACTTGTTGCTTAGTTCAAAGAGGAATTTTCTTACACTCAGAATTTTCTTATCTTTATCCAAACATAAAAGAGACTGGGAGTTGTGAGTACTTGGGATGAAGAGAAGTATCAAAGAGAAATATTCCTATCTCCTGTGCACGACACAGACACGGATGTGTTCAGCCTCTCTCAGTCATGCATGACAAGATATTTGAAGGGGTAATCCCAACTAAAGTGGCAACTACTGGGGACAAAGAGTATCCTGTCTGGACCACTATGGGAGAGGTGTTAACATTCTGTCCCCTTGGGTGATGCTGGTAAACATGCATGCCTTGTCCTTCATCTGCTGCTCATTTGCTAGGTCACTTCAGCAAGTGGAGCTGAAGTTCTGCTTCCTCATCTATCAGCCAAGCTGTCATGAAGACCAGATGTTTGTGGATATAAACTGCAAAGAGTTACACACACTAAAGTCAGTATCATCACTGTCACTAGCCAGATCTGCCTAAGGCCATGTCTGTGTTAACTTCTCAATCACTACATACTCTTGCGATGGATCTCCCTCTACTGGTTGATGAAAGTCTTAACAGGATTTCACATTTTAATGTCACATTGTAATAGATACATATGTAAGAAATATACTTCATATATTACAAAATCTATTCCAGCTTACTTGCCATTTCATATTCTTTGGTGAATGTGGTCATCTTCATAGCCATGTAACATATTCCTGCCAATCCATATGTAACTCTAATTGGCACAAGCCATATTTTAATTGCATAAAGAGAAAAAAAGGCTATTTCAAGGAAACCTATGGTGAATCTCTCCATTTCCACTTCTGATCAAAGGGCCTGCCCCCTCCTCCTTCTCAGTTCCTCACTTGGCTCAATTCTGTCCCAAGAGCATGGAGCTATCCAGGGTGTCTTGTTGATGAATGATAATCTGTACCATGCCATAGCACAACAGGCAGGGGGATTGCTATGATCCTGGGAGTATTAATCAATCATGGTTTTACCACAGCCTGTGGTCTAAGAGTCTGAGACCGTGCAGGGCTATGCAGGAATCAAGTACAGTTGTAAGTGTACTATGTTTCTTAGTAAAAGTCTGTCCTCTTATGTTGGTATAACAAGGGCAGTTTCATATGGTGACTTAGGAGTGGAGATGGGGTTGTGTTTTACTTGATTTTTAAAATTTTCTTAAGACCTTTAATTTCCATGGTTCATTTCCTTTTTCATTACCAAATCTCTATGAAATACCCATCACAGAAACAGTGCCTTCCCAAGAGTGTCACCTTTGGTCCTATGCACTTTCCATCCTAGTTCTCCATTTTTTTTTTTAAAGCTTTATTGAGATATACTTCACATATTATAAAATTTACCCATTTAAAGTGTGCAATCCAGTGGCTTTTAGTATATTCACAGAGTTTTGCGACCATTACCACAATTTAATTTTAGAAAATGTTCATCAAAATAAACTCCATACCCATTAGCAATCACTCCCCTCCCCTTGTCCCTAGGCAACCACTAATCCACTTCCCATCTCTATAGATCTCCCTATTTTGAAGATTTCATTAAAATGAAATCATGCCATACATGGTCCTTTGTGATGGACTCTTTCACTTAGCATGTTTTCAAGGTTCATCCTTGTTGTAGCATGTATCACTACTCCATTCCTTTTTATGGCTGAATAATAGTCCACCACATGGATATACCAAGCCTCTTCCCTTTGTTTTGTTTTGTTTTTGAGATTATAACTGACATACATTATATTAATCTCAGACATACAACATAATGATTCGGTGTTATTATTGGGAAATGATCACCGTAAGTCTAGTTAACATCGATCTTAATTTTTTTTGTGTGATGAGAACTTTTAAGATCTACTCTGTTAGCAACTTTCAAATATACAATACTGTATCATTAACTAGAGTCACCATGCTGTCCTTTACATCTCTATGATTTATTTGATAAATGGAAGTTCATACCTTTTGATAAACTTCACCCATTTTGCCCACACTCCATTCCACTCCCTCTGGATACCAGCAATCTGATCTCTGTATCTGAGTTTGGGGTTTTTTTGTTTTTACTTTTTTTACATTTGACATATAAGTGAGATCATACAGTGTTTGTTTTCCTCTGACTTATTTCACTTAGCATAGTGCCTTCAAGGTCCATTCATGTTGTTGCAAATGGTAAGGACTCCTCCTTTTGATGCCCTTGTTTTCAGCACTCTGAGTGGCCAGGTCTCAGACCTGTTCTCAGTATTTCTCCTTTTGAGGAGCAAATATCTTCTTTCCGGGGGAGATTTAATCTGGTTCACCACAGCTAATCCTAATTCCTTATCCTCTTACTGATAATTCCAATATCTGAAGATTTTCAGGTCTGTTAATATGGACAATTTTTTCCCCTACTTGTTCTCAGTTATGGGGGCTTGACACTCTATATATGTTTGTGCCTTTATTTAATATAAACTGGGAAAATGCTCTCTTCTTACACCTCTTAAGGGCATCTTTGATTTTCTTGTTCTTCAAGCTGTAAATCAAAGGATTCACATAGGGATCATCACTGCATAGAAGACTGATGCCATCTTGTCATGGCCCAGAGAATTATCAGTGCTGGGGTGCATAGAGACAAAGAGTCCTGATCCAAAAAAACAGATCACTGCTATCAGGTGAGAAGTATAGGTGTTGAAAGCCTTGGACTTGCCTTCACCAGAGCTGATCTTCAGGATGGTGGCAATGATATATCATGATGGCAAAGACAGAGATCACACCAAAAATCACTGCTATCACAAATTTCATGACTTTTAGGAAAAAGGTTTCAGAGCAGGATAGGACTAATAATTGAGGCAGATCACAGAAGAAGTGGTTGATAACATTTGGCCCACAGAAATTGAGCTGAAGTAAAGCACACAGTTGAATCAATGAACCAAAGAGGCCAGTTATATAGGCTCCAACCATCATCTGGACACAGAGGGTGGGTGACATGATGGCAGTGTAGAGCAGAGGATTACAAATGGCAGCATATCGGTCATAAGCCATGGCTGCCAGGAGACAGCACTCAGTCAGACCCAGGCTAGAGAAGAAGAAGTACTGCATAGTGCACCCCAAAAATGAGATGGACTTAGGCTTCTGGAAGAAGTCTGAGAGCATTTTGGGGGTTGTGGAGGTAACATAGCAAAAATCTAAGAAGGATAAATTGCTGAGGAGGAAGTGCATGGGTGTATGTAGGTAAGAGTCCATCCTAATCAGGATGATGAGGCCCAGGTTCCAGGACACTGTCAAGAAATAAGAACCCAGGGCACCTGGGTGGCTCAGTCATTAAGCGTCTGCCTTCGGCTCAGGTTGTGATCCCAGGGTCCTGGGATTGAGCCCCACATCGGGCTCCCTGCTCCGCGGGGAAGCCTGCTTCTCCCTCTCCTACTCCCCCTGCTTGTGTTCCCTCTCTCGCTATGTCTCTCTCTGTCAAATAAATAAATAAAATCTTGAAAGAAAAGAAAGAAAGAAAGAAAGAAAGAAGAAAGAAAGAAAGAAAGAAAGAAAGAAAGAAAGAAAGAAAGAAAGAAAGAAAGAAAGAAAGAAAGAAAGAAAGAAAGAAAGAAAGAACCCAAGAATACTGCAAAAAGAACAATCTTGAGCTTGGGATAATCTGAGAATCCTAAAAGGATGAATCTGATGACTATTGTATTGTTCCTTCCTCCAGCCATTGTCTTGAAGTATCTTCTATCTGCAGAAAGGTCCCTGGGTTAATGATTGACTATCTCAATATTACAAAACTTACCTGTTTTGAATATGGTTTCATTATTTGAACAAAAAGTTATCCACAGTCGAGACAACTTTTTTAACATAAAAATTTTTTAAAAACCATCGGAGCCCATTTCACAACTACTCTTAATAGTTTGGAATACATTCTTGCAAATATTTCTACACACAATGTTACCAAATTGTTTCTAAAAGTTGGTACCAATTTACACAAGTATCAAGATTTTATGACAATATTCCTGGCCATTCTATTGTCAACACTACCCATAACTATTCAACTTTAGTTCTTGGTGATCTTAGATGAAAAAATTATTTCATTGTTTTTAATTTTACATTTACTTTACTGATTTGCTCATACACATTTTTTGCCTATTTGTCTAATTGGCTGTTCATTATTAATTTGTAGGAGCTCTTTACATACCCAGAATGATAACTTTCTCCCTCACACATGTTGCTAATTCTTTTCCAACTTTATTATCATCAACATTGTTTATGTTGTATTTTGCTATACAGATTACTTTTATTTTTAGGTAGTCAATTTTCTGTGATATATATGATTCCTGGCTTTGGTTTTACTGAAAAAGATTTCTTTGCACAACCCCAAAATACTTTTTCCTATATTTTTTGTTCTTTGTATTTTTATATTTACATTTAAATTTTCTTGAATATTTTAGCATATAATGCAAGGAATAAGAGTCTGAGATGACTTTGATTTTGGCATTCCAAACTGATTGCCACTTGTCTCAGCACAATTAATTGAAAGATTTCTCCACGGATTAAAGTCACCTTTTTGAAAAATTTTATAGATTTCCTATTCTGCTCAATTTTTATTTAATCTGTCAGTCCATGTGCCACCTGTCTAGTCCTGCACATTTTCTAATGACTTACAATAATTTTTATTAATAAATTATAGAACCTTTTGATAACTGATAAGAAAAAAGTTCCCTCATTTTTTCACTGAGATTGTCTTAATGGTTCTTATTCTCATTTGTCTTCAGAAGATCTTTATGTTGAACTCATCATACAAATAAAATGGAATTCTTATTGCATTTTATTATTACATTAATTTGAGGGAGAAAGAAGTTTTCTTTCTGCAAAGCTGTTGAATTAAGTCATAGAAGAGATAACACTAAAAGTTCTTATAAATATTGTAATATTATGACTGCCAATCTGGACCAAAGCACCTGGCTCTAGTGACGTATATGAGATTCCAAGCTCTGTCCCTACATTGCTATGACTTCTCTGTGTCTTCAGTTTCCCCATCTGTAAAATGAGATCATTGTGGCAATTCTCCTTGTATCACAGAGACTCTACTATGCTTGAGGGGAGTAGTAATTTTGGCAGAAAAACACAAAGAAAAGTGATCCATTATTCTGATATTATTAATCTGATTTTAAATACCCAAAGAAGAGGATTATTTAACTACCTGGAAGGGAAAACTGTTCTGACTCAATATTATCTATCAGTGTCCCTGATGAGACCACAAGATCCAGACTATGTTTCCACAGTAAAATCTGAATCATAGGTTTATATGCTTAGAACATCCTTCAGTAGAAATAGAAAGATTCCATCAGCTAAATTCATAATGAATTTATATTTCAAGAAATTTAGAAAAGGTTTCTTTGGAAACACTAGTTGCTGTGGTATTTCTGTGCTATATTTTGTCATGTCTGTTTTGAAGGTACATGTGACCCGGCCATCCTGAAATCTTGTTATTTTTGAAATTACAGGAAATGCTTTCAGCAAAGTTGACTTGTTTATATCCTTTTATATTATTGACATATTTTAAATAAAAAGTGTTTTTAATGATGAGACAGAAACAGTAAAATATATATTACAATATACTTATTCTTATTTGCTGATGAGGGAAAATGAAATAAAGTATTTAGATAAAGATGATGATTAAAACACCCAATAGTAGAGAAAGATTATATAACTGGAAAACAGAGAGTATATCTCATATTGATTCCTAAAGTTATTTTTACTTTTTTTCCTTTTGTTGTTGGTTTTCACTTCCCATTGTTCATTCAAAACCAAACATACAACAGTCAAGATCATTGGCCATGATTAGAAAAAAAGAGCCCAAAATAGCAGGATAAATGCTGCTCCCTTACTTTCCTTCAGGCATATGAAATGCCAGGCAGACCTTGCAATCTTATCACCTATGATGTCAAATGGATGACATCAAGAACAGTAAATATACTGAACCTTGAAGGGGCAATCTTACCATTCTTCTGGAATATTTTACTATGGAAATTAACTGCATGGAGGACCACAGGGGAAGGGAGGTAAAACTAAATGGGAAGAAATCAGAGAGGGAAACCATGAGAGACTCTGGACTCTGGGAAACAAACTGAGAGTTACAGAGGGGAGGGAGCAGCGGGATGGGGTAATCAGGTGATGGGTAATAAGGAGGGCACATGTTGTGATGAGCACTGGGTGTTATACGCAACTAATGCATCATTGAACATGACATCAAAAACTAACGATGTACTATATGCTGGCTAACTGAACATAATAAAAAAAAAAGAAATTAACTGCAGACACATTTTAAGAATTCCATGCAAAAATAAAACTTATGTAAAAACAGACTTAGAAGTTTGAAAATAAAGGCAGGTGAGCAGTTGCTCTACATGTAAACACCATTTGTAAACTTCTGGAGAACAAACAAACAGCAGTAATAAATTATTTATATGTTTACAACCCAAGGGAAGAGTACATGGTACCAAGAAACAGTCATTCTTCTGTTCTTGCTTTCTACCTTTCTCCCTTAATACAATGTTATATTTCCCAAATAAAATTTTATATCCCATGAGCTAAATTTTTTACATTTATTTCTCTTTAATAATAAAGCTCAAATTAAATCACTATTTATGAGCTACAGAGAACGTTTCTCTGTGGCTCAGAAAATAATTTGATGTTCACTGAATATCTAACACCTGTAAGGCACCAAGACTATCATTTGGGAAGCAGTAGAAGGAAGATTAAATAAGTATTTCAAATGGCTCCTGGGACAATTCATTATAGATCTTCATACATTTTCAGAAAGGCAGACAAAGAAAATAGGTGATTTAGTATGAACAGGGAAATACACAATGTATAAAGGAAAGCATTACTCTGGAAAGCTTTCCCTCTTTTGAATTTGAATTCCTTCTTCTAAACTCCCACTGCACTTATATTTTCTAGTAGAGTGAGAATTTCATGGTTTTTTATTTTATTTCCATGTGCTTTTCCACTAGACCTTAGCCTGTGCTTTTGGCTAAGAATAAATATTTAACACCTAATATATCAGTTATGAATGGCTATGTAACAAACCAAACTTATTGGCTTAAAACACCAATGATTTATCATTTCTCATATTTCTCTTGGTTGACTAGTTTGTCTATTGACCTCACTTGGGTCCCAGATGTGGTTGCATTCTTCTGGTAGCTTGAATGGGGCTGGATGGTCTAAGATGCCCTCACTCCCTTGTTTTGGGCTTCACCTGTGATGGCTTAAATGACTGGGAGGTGCTGAGATTCTCTCTCCACATGAGAGAATCCTAGATTCTTCTAAGTGTGATCACAGGGTTCCAAGAGAGCCAGCCCCAGTGACAAGTGCTCTTCAGTCCTCTGCTTGCATCATATGTGAAGATCTTTCATTGGCAAAAGCAAGTCACGTGGCCAAGCAAAGAATCAATGTGTAAGGTTTGATACAAGGGTTATATACAAGGATATGGATATAAGGAGATGTGATTCATTGGTGTCCATTAATGTAATAATATACCACACCTAGGCTTAGTTCATTGGCTGAACCAAACAATGTAAGTATGCATTAAATATTTGTGGAATTGTAACTTATTCAATTACCTCTTCTGGAACAGTGTAGAGAAAGTATTTGCTCCCTAGAAAGGGAAATTACATTCTTCAAGCAACAAATTAAAGTGTGTCTTCAATCAAGAGGAAAATGAAACAGTTTCTCTAGAATAAATAGAACCGAACTAATGGATTTCTCTTGGCTCCTAAAATGGAAGAATCCAACATATTTTACCACTTAGAAGTCTGTAAGGAGATTTAGTATATCAAGAAGCAGTAGAGTTAGTTGATAATGTACTAGCAACTGCTTATAACACTGATCATCAGTAGGTTTTTTATATTCACTTTTGTGTGTAATAGATCTAAGCCACCATTTGCAATCTAAACCAGTTAGCAAAAAGGTAAATACACTGTGATCTCCATTTTACCTGAATACATTTGTTTTGTTTCAAAATCAAATATACAAACAACAAAAAACTAAAGAGTTAAAAAGTAATATATAATGCTCCTACCCTAATAAACTTCATAAGAGTAATTATCCAAAAACTCACAAAAGGTCATAAACATCCAAATTATGCCTAATCCTAGATGTTCATCAAACCAAAAATATTAATGTATTTCTCCAATATTTAAATATTTTAAAACATGCTATTTTCCTAAGATTTATAAATATCTCTTTTTGGCAACAAGCCAAGTCATAAAAACAATACCTTTTGAAACAAACTGAGGGTTGCCGGAGTGGTGGGGCGTGGGAGGGATGGGGTGGCTGGGTGGTGAACATGGGGGAGGGTATGTGCTATGGTGAGTGCTGTGAATTGTGTAAGACTGTTGAATCACACACCTGTACCTCTGAAACAAATAATACATTATATGTTAAAAAAAAAAAAAAGCAGAAGATAGCAGGAAGGGAAGAATGAAGGGGGGAAATTGGAGGGGGAGACAAACCATGAGAGACTATGGACTCTGAGAAACAAACTGGGGGTTCTAGAGGGGAGGGGGTGGGGGATGGGTTAGCCCGGTGATGGGTATTAAAGAGGGCACGTTCTGCATGGAGCACTGGGTGTTATATGAAAACAATGAATCATGGAACACCACATCAAAAACTAATGATATAATGTATGGTGATTAACATAACATAATAAAATAAATAA